GGGCTCCTCGTTGTTGCTTTTTCGCCCCTCCCTCTCCTCTCCCCCCGGCTGCTGCTTTCCCGCCACGCCGTAGATCCCTGCCCTCGCCGCGTTCCCGCTCATCCCGCCTTGTCTTTGCCTGCATGGAGGCTAGCGGGGGCTTGTGGGGCACCGCAGGGGGAGGAGAGAGAGGGAGCGCGGTAGAAGGGGAGGGATAGGGACTGGAAGATTGTTGTCGCGGCGGTATATGTACATATCTGCGTGTATATGTATATATTGTTGACAAACATTTTTTTTTTCGTTTGTTTATTTCTCTCTGTGTCTGGTGCTTCCTTCCCTTTCTCCTCCTCGGCTCTTTACTTGTTTGTCCACGCCGTGGCAACGGCGTGTGGGATTTATTTGCTGCTGCTGCTGCTGCGCTTTTTTTTTTTGGCTTTTCTCATAAATGTGCTGTTGCTGCTCCTGTCGTTTTTTTTCTTGCATGAGGAGATGTTCTCGTCGTTGTGGGTGTCAGATGGTGGCATCGCTCGCCAGTGCGTCGAGCTTGTGCTGGCGGCCGCCGTTGGCGTGCTGCTCTACTACCTTCCGCTGCGTCTTCTGAGGTGGCAGGGCAGCGCCCGGGCCTTGACGCTGCTGGAGCCCACCGCCAAGGCAGCTGCCGCCGGCCTGCTTCTCTACTCCTGCCTCGGCATGGTGCAGCCGCACCTTCCCAGCGTGCTTCCCACCCGCCTGGCCGGGCCCCCGCCCCCGGATGCGCTTTACTTTCTCGGCGGCGTCGCCGTCGGTGGCGGGCTCGTGCTCCAGGTCAGCCTCCACTTCGGCGACGCCGGCCCGAACGCGGCGACCGCGGCGATGCTCGCACACTGCGTCGCGGAGGGGGCGGGGCTGGGCCTTCTCGTGGGCAGCCCTGGCTTCCCGGCCATCTTCCGCAGCCAGGTGCTTCACGGTGTGCCGGACGGCGCGCTGATGGCGATGGTGTCCCTGGAGCGCTCCGGGCTACTGCGGGCGGTGTGCTTCGCGCTGCTGGCGCGCCTGGCCCAAGCTGTGGCATACTACGCGACCGCTGCTTACATTCCATCCGTCTCCGCGGGAACGGCACAATTTGCAGAAGGGGTGGCGCTTGGATCAATGGCCGCGATGACGTGGGAGGAGCTTGCCAAACCTGCCCGGGGCACGCTTGGAGACAAAAGAACAATTCTCACCGTCTCCGCAGCGGCCGTGGCGAGTTACATTATCCTCGAGTGATGTCCGCAGGGAAGGGCGGATCGCCAAACAGCCGATGTGTAAAGAAGTGCTTCCGCACTTCTCAGGAATTGCCTTGCTTTTTTGCCTTCTATTTTTTTTTGCTATTTTTTAAACGATAATGCGAGCGCGTGTTTCTGAGAAAAAAGGTGTGGGGGCGGCCGGGGCCCGATGGACGGCGGGGCGCTTCTCTGGGCCGCCCCGTTTCTTTTCATGTGCCCAGCGTGCGCGTTGTCGGCAGCGGGGCGTTGTCGGCGGTGGGGCCGGTTGCCGCCAAACGCCTCTGTGGGCGTGCGGGTTTGTTGGCGCGTGCGCGGCGGGCGCGTCTAAACTGGCTGCCGCCTTCGCCTGTTGTTCCTTCGCCTTGCGGGAGTAGAGGGGGCGGAGGGTCCCGTCCGGTAGCATAGCGATTTTTTTATTCTTTTTTTGCTCGCCGGAACGCAGCGGCCGCATGCAGGGGGAGTCGCGGGGGTTGGTGGGAGGGCGGCGGGGGCACCAGCCGTCCCCAAGCCCTGCCGCGGTGCGTGTGCCGGCGCGCGTCCTCGGCGGTGAATTCGCGATTGGCAGCGCCGTCTTTGCCCCGAAGCGGCGCCGGGCGGGGGCGCTCCACTACGCGCTGGCGGAGGTGACCGGCGTGCAGGCCTGCGCCGGCACCGCGACCGTGGCCTTCGCGGGCGCCGAGCCGGGCGTGGACGACGAGGCTGTTCCTCTTTACGCGCTGGTCCCGTGCCCGCGACCCGCCCGCGCATCCGGCGACGGCGGCGCGCGTGGCGTCAGCCTGCGTTCTCTCGCGGAGTGCGGCTTGCACGCGGAGGCGCGTAGCGGGCCGGCTTCGCCTCTCGCAGCGCACGTCCGGCAGATCTCGTGCGGCAGCGTGGTCGGCGGGGACGGGGCGCCGCCGCCGTCCGACGCAGCCGCGCCGCCAATGGAGCGGCGGGCGCCCGCCCCGTCGTCCCCGTCTTCGTCCGTGGAGCGGGAGAGCGACGGCGAGTGGTGCCGGTTGCGCGTCGCGCACGCGCCGCCGGAAAGCGTGGACGTTTTCTTTGCCCGTGCGTTTCGCGCGGTGTGCCGCGCGGTCCTCCGGCGCCCCGGGGGCGGGCGGCTGGCAGGTTCGCGGCAGGTGGCGTTGTGCGCGTTCGACGCCTACAGCACTCTGCACCGCTTCAGCGTGTACATGGCGCTCCGCGGCCACCGGCTGCACCTCGTCGACGGCGTGTGTCCCCGAGCGGCGCCCGACGCCGTGGAGGATGTGAGCTGGCTCTGCCTTCTTGCTGAAGACGTGGAGGGCGAGGGCGCGGCAGCCAAGCTGCTTGGTGGTTGGCTGTCGCCGGGGTGGCCGAAGGCGGCCGGCGAGGCGCCTGCGGCGGCGCTGGTGGTGGTGCGCTTCGCCGAAGTCTGCGGGGACGCGGGCTGCGAGGATCGAAACGCCGAATCGGCGCCACGCGACGGCGAAGACGCGGTCGTGAGGAGGCTGCTGGGCGTCGTGGGCGGCGCCGGGGCTTTTGTGGTGTGCCGGCTGTTTCTTGGCGGGGGCGACGGTGAGCTCATGGCGACGTCGTTGGCGGCGGCCTGCCGGCACCGCCCGCAGCAGCCGGATTGGCAGGGCGCCGCCGTGGCCCGCCGGCGGCGGCAGGAGGAGTCGCCCGTGGAGCTGCGCGTTCCCGCCAGCCGGTGGCAGCTGGACCTCCTCCGCTCGCTGGCGGCGCGGGACAAATCCACGGAGCGGGGCGGTGCAGGAGGGCCGCCGCCGTGCGCCGCGCCTCTGCCGCCGCATCTGCTGCAGTCCGTGGCCTACGGGAACGTGTTCGACGCGTCGCTTGCCGCCGCGCTCGCCGCCGCGCCTGGCGGGCGGGAGCTGCTGGACGGCGTCAGGGACAGGGTGGTGCGCGGCGGGGACTTTGTTGGCGGCGACGCCTTCCCCGTTTTGGCGGCCGCGCGGGCCGTTCTGGCGGACGTCCTCGCGGCGCCGTCGGCAGAGCCCGCCGCGCGGCAGCGACGCGTGGCCCTGTGCCTCCCCGGCGCCGGCGGTGCGACGGACGACGCGGCAGCATACTTGCACGCCGTCCAGAGTTTCCTTCGGCCATGGCATCTTTTTACCCTGTCGGCGGAAAAGCGGAGGCGGCAGCCGAGCGTGGCGGCATTGCTGGACAGCCGGGCGTGGTTGGAGGCGGGCGGCGTGCTGCTACTGAGCCCTGAGGACCCGCTCTGCGGGCTGAGCTCCCTCCACGACGAGGCCGACGTCGCGATCACGTGCGGCAAGGCGGCCGCCGCTCTTGTCGCCGGGTGCCGCCGCGGCGTGTCGCACATCGCGCTCCACTCGGAGGTCGAGCTCGCGGAGTGCCCGACGCAGCGGTGGACGCTGTGGCGCGGCCCCGCGGAGGAGGCGGAGCGCTCGGACGCCGAGAGGGCCGTTCTAGCGGCGGCAGTTGCCGTGGGCGGGGCGGGCGCGGCGCCCGTTATCGCGACAGCCGCCGCCCTTCTGCAGCGGCTGACGCCTCCCGCCGCGGGAGAAGAAGAGCCGGCGAGGACGGCGGGAGGTAAGCGGCTGCGCGAGAAGGGTGCTGCCAGCGAATGGGCTCACCTGCGCCGAATTGCCGAGGCAGTCGCACTTTGTGGCTGCCGCAACCCGGTGGAATTGTTTGGCGAGACGGACCCGTAGTCCCCGCCCTGCCGGCCGCCGCATCTGCCGGCCCTGCGGCTGCTTGTTTGCCCTCCTTTCGCGCACGGGCGGCCGCGCGGGCAACGGGACCAGAGCGCAGTGGGTCCCTTGCGCCTCGGAATTGTAAAACCGGTAAAAAAAAACGAACTGAAGCGGAGGCTTCCTCGGCCGCCCCTGCCAATGTTGTGCCCCTGCGGCTGCGTGCGGTCTCGCGCGGGCAGTCCCCGGTGCGCTGCGCCCGCCGCAGCTCGTGTGTCACCTCTTTCTTCCCCCGCCTTCTCTGCAACCACTCCCCCTGTCAAGAGGCAGTCCTGCCGCCGCCGCTGTTTTGCGCATCGTGGCAAGACGTTGCGAAACACGCTCAAAAGGCACACTGGCAAGCGCCAGCCGCGGCGGAATAGGCACTTGTCAGGGACAATAGGATGTTGCGGCCGGTGGCTTTTTGCGCGGCTTCTCCTTTCGGCGCCCCGCGCCAGCGAGGCCCGCGGCGACCATGAAGAGAAACGGGCTTCGCCCCCTGCCGCGGGGTGCTGCAAAGGGACGGGGGGCCCCTCCTCGCCGGCGGTGGGGTCGCGAGAGACGCCGTGGGCGGCAATACGGCCGCGAGTGCCGGCTGGAGGAAGCCGGCGCCAACGCGGCCGCAGCCCCCCGGCAGAAGTCGAGGGAAT